GAACTCGCCAGATAATATAAATAATAGTATGACATCAAGAGCTTTTGACACGAAATAATTATAAAAATTAGCCTTTAGTATATAAGACACTTAATTTTTTCGCTGTTCTAATTTATTTATTAATTATTAATTCAATTTCAAAGATTTCATGTTTGGCCAAAATAAATTAATGAAATTTCATGTTAAATTAACCAAAATGGTTCAGTGAGGATTTTTAATGGCAGCCTTATCATTTTTTAACTTTAAAGAGATCATATATATCTAATGTCTTATTTTTTTAGGTTTAACTGTATTCCTATTCCTTTTGCTGGCTCAGAAAGGATTAGTACGTATATTTTAAACCATTACCATCACGTATACAGATAAAAATAGTTTCTTAATTTACAGGAAGTACATGGCCGAAAATTACGTAGAGAGTCCTTCGAGGAATTAAGTACAGAAGCTGAAGAAGATGTTGCTGCCCCGGTGTACTATCAAGGTGACATTTACTACATGGGCAAGAATTTTGAACAATATTTTAGTCGTTTGTTTCTCTTTTTGTTAATAGGAGTTGATGGACAACCAGGGGTGGACTTTCCAACCCTTTCGTACATCCCCCGCACAACTTTCAGCTGCACGGAGATGGACAGTGGATACTACGCTGACACAGAAACCGGATGTCAAGTACTGAAACAAATTAATCATTAATTTCTGAACAAACGTCATGATTGTCCTACAGGTTTTCCACATCTGCAACAATGGAGCTAAGGTGTCCTTCCTTTGTCCGAATGGCACCATATTCCAACAGTCAGAACTCATTTGCGAATGGTGGTTCAAAGTGAATTGCTCCGTAGCGCCAACATTGTACCAGGACAGTGCAGAACAGTTCCAGTTGGATACACTAAGACGTAAAGAATCTAGGCGAGTTACAGGAACCTCCAGGCCTACAGTAGTCACCCAGACTCAAAGATCCTCAACCACTGCTCAATCTAGAGAAACTTTTGGGCATCAGCGAACCTCTTCGTCGAGAAGAAACAGCTTCAATACGAGTCCGAAACCACCTCCGACTAATCAGTTCCAAGAAAACCGAGGAAGTACAAGCCGCGGACCAACGGTTTACAAGAGCGATTCCCAACAAGGTTCTAGTGCTAGGAAGACTGGCAAAAACATAAACAAAGTTTCTTCTGATGGATCCAACATCGAGACCAAAGTTTCTGGTTTTCAACGTAATGGGTTCCAATCGACATCGCGCACCCCAGTGAGCGTTTCTTATGAAGAAACCCAAATCCCCGAAGAAAGTGGATCATTCGTAAGAAGCCGCTTCAACTCGATATCTTCCTCTTCGAAACCTACTACAGAAAATCCATATCCAAACCACAGAAAATCGTACTCGGACATTCAAGACCCCAAAGTCTACGGTAAAAGTTACAGCAAGCTTCCCGAGAAATCTTTTTACGGGACATCGTTAGGTCCAGAAACACTATCAACTGTTCCTGTTCTTCACCTCGACACCACAGTAACCCAATCGCCTTCAATCGTCCCGCGTGACCCCGTACAAAAAACTACTTCAGTTAAAGATGAAGATAAAACAACTGCAGAAGGAAGTGGCTTGAATGATCCAGACGCTACAACAATTAGTGAATACGACGTTCCGAGTGGATTTAATGTCGATTCGGTGGCTGTGGTGACTACAGATATTCAACGAAAAATCGCCAAAGAGGAAGACATACAAGTTAACACATCTGAAATATCTACAACCGAAAGCAAACTTATATTTTTGAAAACAACTACTCAATCGCCACGATCCTTCCAGGCCCATGCTGAAAGGGATGAAAAGAGCGACAAATCACAACAGGAAACCGAGACTCCCAGTTTAGACTTCAATGTCAACTCAATCTCCGTCATACCTTTCCACGCACACTCCAGAAGTACTACAGATAGGAATTATGACCCGTCTACAACTTTAAATCCTTCAACTGAAAAAAATTGTAGTACTTTCACGTCCGACAATTTAAGTACCACTCTTCCAGACTTATCCAGCCTAGTATCAAACACTTTATCTCCATCGGACTCCACAGATTCGACTCAAACGAAACTGGATTCGGGACCAAGCGGAAGCCCACGAATTGGTTTTGACTATTTCGGAACAACCGAATCTTCGCATCAACAAAGTACCCCCAATCCCAATAATTTTGCTCGGGAAGTAAACGGAGTCGTCTACACGACGGCATTCCCAAGAGGATTTACTCTATCTACTGCAACTAAAAGTGACTTCTCAACAATTGAAAACAGAATAAACAATCCCAGTAATAAATTACCCCCAGATGAAGAAAGCAACAGCATCCTTGACTTCACACTATCCACGGTTCCGACGCCTTATTCCACCACCAACAACCCACCACCTGAAGTTACAGACGAAAATATGAAAGATGTTATCAATTCTTTAATCAAAATTGCTGAAGAACGTTTAAACAAGGACGAAGAAGCAAGGTTTGCAACCAATAGGCCAGATTTAGTTGTTCCTCCGTCTGTAAGCCCAAGCACTTTACATTCTTTGGCTCTATACTTTGCCAATGCTGCCGACATTAACCATTCGCACCCGGAGGACGATTTTATGAATTTGAATCTCACAGCTACGGAGGAACGGACTGTGGTCGACATGCTTTTGACCGAAGCAACCAGAGTTGGATACGAAAGTCTCTTCAAAGACCAAACTCAAACACCTGCAGTCGAGGCAAGTACCAAGGAACCGGGAACTACTACTGTTGCTTCTTCCACTGTCGAGGACGAAGATGCAAATTATCCACCACAAAATACGTCGGTACGTGAACTCGCCAGGTTGTTCACTTCCGCTTTGTCTTCGTATCTAGACGACCCGGAGAACTTTAGGAAAACCCTACAGGGAGTACGTCCTACAGAGCCACCCGTCGAAGGGAGAACTGAAACGAATCCGGAAGACGAAGAAGTTTTGAACTTCTCTGACTCTGATCTTTCCGTTAAATCTCCACCTGGTAATTCCCAAAGTACCACGACAGAAAGTACCATCGGTTCGACAATTGGAATTCCAAAAATTACGACAGAACCTTCAACCTACAATTCCCATGTTGTGACGTCGGAGAAACCAGAACCAACGCTAGGTTTCGTCATAGCGTATGACTCCAATAGCGATTCTGACAATTCAATCGATCAAAACGGAGAAAACCTTCAAACAGCTGATAGCCAGTCGTTTGTTTCACAAAATGGTAATTCACTTGTTCCAGAAAAACAGCACGAGCAAAAATCAACACTTTTTGACAAAGGCGTCACTACGTACACAGAAAAACCTGAACCTGCGATTACATTTAGACCTAGACCAACAGCGAGTTTCATTCTGGCCTACGGCGTATCGAAATCTTCAACTTCAACCGAGTCTTTTCAAACTAATTTTGGTTCGTATACAACTGAAAGAGTTGAAACGACCAGTTTCGGCCAAGAAGGTTCAAGATCCACTTCGTTTTGGACGACAGCAGACGGTCTGCCCAACAACCACTGGACTGCGTCCTCGGATGTCACCAAACTTTTGCAGTCTGCTTTGGCTTTAGATCCTTTAACTGTTAACATTCTTACGACGTCCGGAATTTCGGGGACTACCGAGTCAGTTGCTGCTACTGATGAAGCTACAGAAAGAGAAACGTCGACAAAAACCGTTTTGGAAAATGCCGAGTCTCTCTACACCGAAGCCGATGGTGTCAACAATAGACTAAACAAGGTTTTAATGAATATAATGAAGAACACAACAAACGAAAGGGAAAGGGTCAGGCTCATACTGGACAAACTGAATTTAACCGAGGATGAATTTAGAAATAGGATGAAAGAGATTGAATCGAACCCGTTGGCAAAACGATTAGTACTTTTGTTGGTAGATCGATGCAATAATAAGGAAAATGATAACGGCGAAGGTTATTCTGCTAATGAGATCGGAAGTACTACGGAACAGATAACAGACACTAATCCACAGCGTGGAGATGATAATGTGTTTCGGAAGTTCGTCGATGAAAATCTAACAGACGAAAACGAAGACACTCGGGCCCTGCAATTATTGAACTCGTTATACGTGATAGCTTCGAAGTTTAATAAATAGAAAAAGAAGAAAGTCTTTAGAATAGCTAGTATAAATAAGTAAGCCATTGTTACAGGAATTCCCAAACAACGAAATAACAGTTTAATTTGCTGGTTTGTCACACATCGACTAGATACGTATACAATAATACAAATAAGATCTTTCTATTTGCCATTAAACGGGGACGAGTGCAATTATATTGGTCTCGAATTTTGGGAAATTCTAGGAAACATTCTGTTCGAATTTGTTTATCGATCAAAAATTACAGCACCTGCAACAGGGCTAGGCTAACAATAATAAGACCGTTTGCTTTTCTTTTTTTGAACTTGAGAACAAAACACGAACTTCATTTGTTATTTATTTTTACCGATTTAAATGTTTCTACATAAAGTAGTAATTTAAGATTAGTACGATCGTTTTATGTAAAAGAAAAACACAGAGAGTAAATGCGGCGCAGTGTGTTGCATGTATATATGTACATATATATAAATAAATGAATAAATACTTAATGTATAATTTAAAAAATAAAAATATTTCTAAATATCAGTGCGCAAGTTTTTTNTTTTCACGTCTTGGATGTAACAGAATACTGTTAGAAAAAGACGCTTGTCTAGATAGATCGTCATCGTCAGATAAAGGAGCACATATTATGCACTTGGTACATATTATAGGATAGACATACGATCAACCTACGTCTGTTATCTTTGGTCTGATTTAGTGACTGCAAAAATTAATGATGCTAAAGAAGTAAACAGTGGTCTCTGTAGTCACATTTTTTAACTTAAAATGCTTAATAATGAGAACCAGAAGCGTTATGACGTGTATAGTAGCCGTGGTAGAATCCAGGGTTCCCTACAACCTAGCCAAGGATTTCCATAATTAGGACCACGAGAGAGAGAGAGAGAGCATAGAAGATAAAGATACTCAAAAAGCTTGCCCTCTGTCTTTCTTTTTGATACAATAAGCCCAAGGCTCCGGAAGTAACGTACTGACGCCCTTGATATTGAAAACAAACGAAAACCGAAATAGGTTTGTCATTAATGTTATCAATATTCATCACAATGGTTTCTAGATTGACGGAATATAAACAGTTTTTTGGCAATCGTACTTTTATTTTTCATTTGTTTTCAGATCCTGTAGGGTTGCTTTTGTTTATCGAAGTAGAAACACCTGACTGTGCATATTAATAGGTGTAGAGTTGAATATATGATGAGTACGGGTCAAATCGCCCAGGCTTGTTAGCAAACTTTGCTATGCGTATGTATTATTCATTTAAATATGCCTTGATAGTGCTTCCTTTTGCAGAATGTTCAATATTAGTGTCGATTACACTGAGATAATGTTAAACAATATTATGCGGTGTATATGTAGTTGGCATATATGTATACAGGTAGGTAAACCTAAGCCATGTAACAAGCAATTAAACATCAGAGTACTGTTAATAACGCTAAATTCCCACTTAAATCCTAAAAAGAGTCACGTATTAAAAGTAGACCTATGCTAAAGCAAGTAAGGGAATTGAAATGCAAAAAAACACGAAGATATTTACAATATTTCTATTTTATATATTAATGAAAGAATTAGTGGTATTAATCTAGTCGTGGATAACTTATGTATTAGAAATACTTTAGCATAATATACGATTTTAAAGTCTTTCGTTAATCCATCGAAATGGTTTAAATTACAAATTAGTAGAAATCAAGTTCAAGCAACTTTATATTACTTGGTATACGAATTAAGAAGTTATTTATTAAAACACTTCCTGGATTGAACGCAAAGCAACGGTAATATGTTAGATGTGTGGAATTGGAATTTAATAACGTCATTTTGCATACAACAATTTATTTATCAAGTAAAATTGACTACCTATTTATACTTATTACAGAAAATGTAAGATGCATTAATAGATAACAAAAATAACACAGAATAGATTTTTCGGAAAAATCTTTATTTGAATAAGAATCAATACTTTAATTTTATACAACCAACTTCTACATCTACTTAAACCATTTTTGTTCCCAATCATCCCATACTACCATTGCCCCATAAACTTCGAGAATCACCCCAATAGAAACGATAAAACAATTTCATAAAAAACAAACCTGATGTTAATTTTTTTAATACTTTGTATTTTACTTAAAAAGGATCCTTTTAGACAAAGGTGCTTCCCAATTACCCTATTTTCCCTTTATACATATCGCGAAAGGACAGGTACAAGTAAGTGGTTGTGGGCCAGGGTTTTGTGTGCCTGTTTTTATAACCCATGTTCTGTAATAAGTCGGAAACAGCGATAGACACTGATTTTGAAAATATCGTTTTTAAAGAAGGAATTGATCTGACCGTTGCAACATTTTGCTTGCGTTGAACAAAAGACAAACGAGGTCACCAGCTTCACCTTTATTTAAGAATGCAGTTACATATTACATTAGGTTTAATACCCGTATACATATATTTTTAAAAGCCTTTCTCTTAAAATTTCCTCTTTAAGATTAATTACTTTGCATCTGTTACTTTTAAAAATTTTCACACAAAAGTAGGCGTATCTACCTGTTAAAAAAGTTGGCCTAATTTCGGCGACCAATTTTAACGAAAAACGCGGTTGATAAAATATCAAGGTTGATGAATGAAAACGGTCGATTATGTAAACCAATCTTTTAGAACATACATTAAATATTGTAGGTAATGGATATTATTAAGCGAAGCCTTCAAGAAACGTTACATCTTCAAGAGGAGCCGTTTCGATCGAGGTCAGCAATTTAAATGAAACAAAACAATACTCAAACTTACTTATTGCCTGAAACGATACGTCTGAAACTAATCCAGGGCATTTCACACCTTCGAACATCAATATTACGAATCCAGGACTCGAAAATCCACCCTGTTCATCCCCGACAGTTGCTTCCCATATTGCTGCACAATAACAACACTTCCAGTCAGTTCAGGCGCACTTGAATGGTATCCCTTCTTTTTTTCACAAATCGCAAAAACAAAAGATAATGAAACAAAAAAAAAAGAAACGGATTGCACGGACGCCAACTAGGATTCTATTAGTATGTGTAAGTATTGGAAAAGAAAAACGAATGTGCTGGGTGACGTTAGAGTATACCGCACCTGCTTCAACGTCGACCCACCTTTAGACGGGTCTCTAAAGTTAGCGGTGCTTACTACAACCGACGAATATTCTACCTATTCTTCGCCTTTCTAAAGACCAGCAAACAAGCAGCAAGCAGCAACTTTTCTTCGAATGCCCACGGCTAGAGGCAGCCTTCCTCGTGAAACGGGGGCCCCAACCAAGTAGACGAAGAATTTATGCAACTCATATTACAGATATACGCTCTGAGAACTGATGGTAGTATTTGCTGGGCTTTCCAAAGAAAAAAGAAAAACAACAAGAGAATCCTGGGTCCTATGGAAAATGATTTTGGAAAATCTCTAATATTGGGGAAAATATTCAACTTTATAAACCTGTGACTTTCATAGTTAATTTTCCGAACGCGGAAATTCATTTTCTTTGACCATATCTCTAATAATAATAGAAAACGTATTTTTTTCCAGAAACACGTTTCTGTTTTAATCTTTTAATCTTTTTCTGTAAAAGTCCATTTTTTCCCTTTCATTAGGCCTGACGGTGAATTGGTACCGTACAATTATTATTCGTACGTATATTATAATTTTCCGAAGCTTGCGGGTCGGTTATCGGATGTTTGGGTTCATTTAGCTGTCACGGGTCGTCAAAACGCCCCTGTTATTTCAGCGGAATAGGCCTCAAAGATCCGATACAAACAGGAGGAAGAACGAGATCCCCAATACGCTAATTTTCTCCTTCTTTTTTTTTTTTTGTTTGTTACAATTAGAACCAGTACGAGAAATTGGCCGAGGACAAAAGAAACCGCAGACCACAAAATTGACCTGGCACGAACGTTTCATGGAAATTGGTGTTATTAGGGCTTTTATCGTATTATATTAAAGTTTTCTAATTACGTAAACTGATACTTTTTTCGGTTAAGAATAATTACATATGTTATGTTATGTTTCGACGTCAAAAAAAAAACAAGGATTTGGAGAAAATTTTTACAAAACCCAACCATCCGTTACACTTTGTCTTCTATTGGGGTTGTTTTATTAGGTCGTGTGATTGTTTCTGGGATTGTTGGGATTGTTCAAAAGTGCAACAGGTTGATGTCAAGAATTTACTAGTTAGGTAAGTACAATGATCCTAATTAATCACCGAGTACTGTTGGTGACAGGTGGTGATCGGTCACATGGGGACAAAAAGCGGAATCGAAGTCTCGCTGGCGATGTCATTTGCGTGCCAGAAGATCAAAACGCAATGTCCGTGCAGCACGCAAATAGGCGTGCATCAGGGTAGGCTGTGCGGGCTCATCACGGCATCCCATGACGGCACTTCTGCTGGAAGTTGAACCACCACCACACTATACAGCTAGTATTTTGCGACGAAAATCCAAAAGAAGCATACCTCTAAAATGCTTCTATTAATAACAATGGTAATGTAAGAAAAGCGAAAAGAATTAAACGGACTTGGGGGTTGAAGCCGGGAACGCTATATAGTGTGGTGTTTAGTGACTCCAGATGATGTGTCGACTGTGATTTCTTGGCGTCAATTAATATTTGTTTAAGACTTAAAAAAAGTCTAAATACGGTCATCCCTTAGGTACAGCAAAGAACATGATACTACTACTTGAGACACCAGCTAAAATCATTGAAAGAAGTTCATGCATTTTAAAGATTCTTATCGTCCAACTTTGAAAACAGCGGTAAGTAAATGTAATAATTTTTCTATTCTAGATATGTTTTTTATTGTCTAACAGTATATTTTGTTCTATTTCTAAATGTTTTTTTATATATACGTGAAAATTGCGCTTACAATTTTTCATCTGTTTGAAAGCCCTGTGTAGGCACATCAACGTATAAATTTTCCGACAAGATAGTAAATCGATTTCAAAACAATTCAAAACCGATTGCGTGACATCGAATGTCACGGAATACTGTCAGCATCACAAGGAATATTGAACTAAACTGTTTTACCTTTTAAGTCTTAAAACTAGAAGCTAAATTATTGTATACTTAGCGATTACTACATTCAAAAGTTATTAGCTTTTCTTGAACTCTTTAACATATATTGTTATCACATATGTAATTGCAGATTTAACTAATTGTTGTTCATATTTTATTAGAATCAACAAAATGTATCTACAATAAATTTTGCAAAACTAGCTTAAATTTAAACGGTTGAATGTGAATAATATGCATATCCATGCCTGAGACGAACAAACATCACATTTTTTGCTAGTTCTAAGTAAACATATAACACTTCTTTACTCGCGTTTGCTATCCAATCGGAACGGTCTGTGGCCACAAAAGCCAGAGTAGATGATGTGTTTGTTAGAAACAATTGTCACTGAGATGAACTTGAAGAATAGAGAAAGGCAGTGGACAAATGTAAATTACACCCGAACGTTAAAACCAAATGCATTAATCGCATCAGTTAAACACCTAAACAAAAGCTGTAAAGAATTAAATTTTTGTACTATATTTGTACAGAAAATATCATTAAAACACTTAAACATTTTCCCAAAAAATTTGTCTAAAATTATTAATATTATGAAGGGATAAAGTCTGTAAGTTTAGATAAAGGAGATAATCTCCACATTCACAGGTAACAGTTACTTTTCCGATTTCAAAAATTCTTAATTCAATATTTAGAATGGAGCTTCAGGGTGTGGACATAGACCGAAAAAATAATGAAGCTATTCATGGAGCCCAATTTTCGTCCTACGAATTCATAAAAATAGGTCTACTAAAAAGTCTTCGTTAACTATATATATCTACACGTATATGTTGAGGTTAATTCACAAGTTGATAAAATATAACTTAAGTGTTTTCTTTTTTACTAACTGTTGTTAAAAAACATCTTTCAGTTAGCATAGGATTATTGCAAAAGCTTTTTGGAACAACCTTTAAGCGGTGCAATTGACATGCGCTCGAAAAGCTTATCACATCTTGTGAAAAACAAGGCAGAATACCATGTTATTCAAGTTACATTTAGTTTTAAGTAATACAGTGTACTATAAAGTGCAGTGAATATTTTAAACAGTGGTAAGGATTAATATTGTTTTATTGAATGTAATTTTGATAACTGTACAAACACAAAATGTAATTGAGTAAGTACAGTAATTACAGTAAGTTAATGAACACTTAGAAACCTAAAACGCGTTTCGACAGCCAAGGTATCATCATCATCATAAGGTCATCAGTCCTAAGACTGGTTGGACACGTACCTCCACTCTTTCCTATCCTGAGCTAAACTTCGCATTTCCCTAAAACTAGAACAACCCACATCCTTAACTATTTGCGAACAGTAATNTATAAATCTATCTAAAATAAATAAAAAACAACATTAATTTGTTGCATTTTTACAATTCCGTCGTTGTCTCTATCGACTGATCGTTGCATAAATAACCTAAGTGAGAATATTTTTTCTTTTCCCGAAACATTACGTTTTCGTTAGAGGGACTAGTACTCATTTCCTCATCGTCTAAACTTCTACAATAAAAAAAGAAAACAAAAACGACATTCAAATGTTTATCACAAATCAGTTTCTTTTGTTTTCATTCGCGTTCGCGTGTTATTATAGATAAATACGAGATATGACGGAAAACAAAAAGTCCTTACCCATCGTACATATGATTCCCGGATTTCCCCGGATCATGCTCGCCGACACTGGAAGCTCTCGCAGTTGACTCGCTCCCCATCGGACTGCGCTGGCTTGATGCTATAAAACAAACAGTTGAAACCACCGAAAATCACCAAGAAACAAACAAAATATTTACATTTATTGAGATTATTTTCTTTACTGATGTAAGTCACGTTGTCCAGGTTGAAGACGTGACTTTTTTTACTAAAATCTAAATGTAAATCGTTGTAATCGTCATTATCATCGATCGGGACGCACATTTGTAGAACCTGGGTTTCGTATTCTTTCAGGTTGGGTTCGACGTACACAGTGTCGTAACGTACGGGGCTGGAGGGTGCCGAGTATGCCCGCTGCAGTTGACTTTTATACGACTTGTACCTAAATTACAAAATTAATTTCCCATCTCGAACAAAAGAAACGCTTAAATAAGTCTCACCGTGACCAAGACACTGTTATGTAGATAATTCCAATTATTCCAAAGACGAAGATTATACATGCAATCACTATCAGGGCATATGGAAATACCTCTCCGTTTAACGACGCTATCGCCGTAGGTTTGGCTTTTTTCGGAATTTCTAACGGCGTGTGTATTTCCAAAGCCGTGTGCTTGATCTGACCGGACACGTCGAAAGTTATGTTGTCCATCGCTTGTTTATCGAAAATTGCTCTGAAATTAACAAAAAACACTCGAAAAGGAAAAACGAAGATCGAAACAAAACACAACGTCTCGATAAACAGTTGCAACAAAAACAACAACGTGTGACTAAGTATCATAAAGTACTTAATAATATTTTATGTCTCTCTGTGGCTTACATATTAACGTAAGTGAACGATTACGGTTAACAAATAATTAAAATTCAATCAGCGTAGTTGCATACAAAATACGGGGTCTGTATATAAAAACAAAGTTCATAATAAATTCATATGTTTTACGGTTTTAAATTCGCATTTTTTGTTTGAAAAACGTACCTTTTTACGATCGAATGATTTGCTTCTAGGATGCTATCAGTTTCGGGATCGATTAGATAAAACCAGACATCTGTGGCTGTAGGGTCGACTTCTAAGGTGCCGTTTTCGTTGATGAACTCTCTCTGAGTGACCTTTTCGATTCCAACAATAAGATCAGTTTGGTCCTGGATGACCCGTTGCAACGTTTCGAGTTTGGTGGCGACCGCGTCGGGTTTCGCGTCCCCGATCACGAGAACAATTCGATTTTCGTCGGTAATTAAATTCACGATCAATGGCGTTTTGACCATGTGATAATCCACCGTGCTGTTCGGATTATCCCTGGCTGAGGCGATCAGATAGAACGTTTGCTCTAATGGAAGATCGCCGTCGAAACCTTTCTTCGTTTTCACTACGCCCGAATTGTGATCGATCGAGAAAAAGGCGTCACTGTAATTTCCTGTCAAGTCGTATTTTATTTTACCGAACTTTCCATTGTCTTTGTCGTCGGCCTAAAAAAATTAGGTACCTCTTAATATAATAAGCTGCAATATTTTCTGAACGCACTACGTATACTACAAGAATTTACAGCTACACTGTAATAAAATATGAATTAATAAAAAATCACGTCACTTATAACACCAGCAACTGTTTTTGTTTGATGCTCATATTTAATTTATTCCTTAAGAACAAATTTTGATTGCCTCATATCCAATTTTCGGCACACTCCGGCACTCCAAAACACATTAAATTGCGTAAAATCTAATATCCACCAATACCCATGGAAACAATTTGTCAACTATCAACTTTAATACCTGCGTAACAAAACCGTTCCAAAGGTTCTAGTATTCGTTTAACAAACGAGGCGATAACAAAATACAATCGCACATACAAAATAAAACGATACAAAAACAGTATCTGCAACAACAAAAACAAGTGCGTGTTCCGAAGTCGTACTTGCAATTGAATTTTTTTGATGACAAAAGCTGCCTACGACTTTGTTTCTCAGAAAACAAACAATAGTCGCGAAACATTCAGTTGTTGGGACACACCAATCGTGAATGCATTTCTCAGTTGAATATAAGTATGTTAGAGACTGCATACTTGTAACGTAAGTAGGCGCGTAAAACATAAAAAGTCAATGATTCTTGCTTAATAGATTGCTATAAATATACATGTATAAATAACAATCTTACCTTTATTTGGACAACTGTGGAAGCAACAGGGGTGGTTTTGGTAATGGCTGCATAATACTTATCAGTTGCTGATCCTGAGGGATATATAAAGTAAGGAATGTTATCGTTCACGTCGGCAACGTTGATGGTGATTTTGGTGATTTTGAAGTCGTGGTTGAGGAAACCCTGGATGGACATGAGTTCGACGACCAGATGGTACGTTTCCTCCGTTTCGAAATCCAAGGACCCGTTCAAATATAACGCGCAATTCCTGTCATCCGTGACGTTCACTTTAAACAGTCCTTGAAACAAATGGGAAACAATTGATCAATTTTGATAGATAGAGACTCAAGTATATGAAACACTCACCATTTTGATTTCCATCGGTGATAACGCATTTCAATGGTATGTTAGTACCATGAGCTTTACTGTTTACGATGGTTAGCGTTTTTATCAGTAAGCCTGTTGTTGAATTTTCTTGCACTTGGGCACTGTACGACGTATCGGTGAATCTTAGGCCTACTTCAGGTGCCACAGTGGCCACGTGCTGTATATAGACGTCCACTGTGATGACCGAAGAGAGCTGGGGTTCCCCCAAATCGTATGCCCTTACGTCCACCTTAAAAAAAGATTAATTTTATTGTAGCTACGTCTTAGATTTTCAGGACCTCCAAGGTGTCAAACTTTGGAGAATCCCAATCTCTAACAACTGGTGTCGTAATGAGTAATGAAAATTCAATAGTGAGCACGAAATCCTTTAAATTGACCATTTCTTTCAACGACCGCTGCAATGAAGTACTACAAGGATCTTCATGTAAGTGGATAGGATTCTGGAAAGCGATTAAGTCACAATTTTGACATTTACCTGATATTCTGTGTCAACTTCCTTTCTGAGATCGTTGATAACTTTCAAAATTCCCGTGTCTGGATCGATCTGGAAATATTTGGTTGATTTTCCTCTCCCGATTACCTCGTACCGCACCTGGAATGGATAATTCGGTTTAACCCTGAAAAAGAAATGAATTTTGTTTCTTTTGATACCATTAATTTACCTTGTTGTTCGGGGAAGTCCCATCGGAATCCGCGGCTACCAAATGCGTTACCGAAGTGCCAATTGATACGTCATCGTCCAAAGTTATCGGATGAGGAAGTGTAGTAAACACTGGAGGAATGTCGTTACGGTCCTGGATGAAACAAGCACAAGATAAAGAAAACTACAACACATAATAAGGGATTATCTTCTTACCTCCACCTTGACAATGACTTTAGTTGTACTTCCTTCTGTGTTCAGCATATTCTCCAAAGTCCCAATGATCAGAACGTGTTGGCTTTCCTTTTCGTAATCGAGGCCTCGGGTTGTGAATATTGCCCCTGTGTTTTCGTTGATCCTAAACAGATCTGTGGACCCTTGATGGATTACGTATGTAACTTTCTTCACTGTATCCGGGTCTCTAGCCTGGAACAGATTCGGAAACAGAAAAATAATAATGTGCATGTATAGGAGAAATAACAAAAGTATACCATGACATCGGTTACGAAATAGTCTGGCGTATTTTCTGGAACTGTAGCTTCATAAACAGGATTATCGAAGATTGGCAGTTCATCTTCAACGTCTATGACATTGATTACGACGGTTGCTGTGGCAATTCGAGGATCTGGTGCCCCATCTTTTGCGGTCACTACGAATTGGTAGTTCTGAAATTTGATAAAATATTAACGGATTTCGGATTATTTATCGGAATGCGTCGTTTACCTGGCGTTTCTCATAATCCAAAGCCCTGTTGGTGGTGATTTCTCCAGTTTCGGAATCGATGTCGAAGGGCAGATTGGCAGGGATTGAATAAGTGACCAAGGCGTTGATGCCCTCGTCTGCATCTGTTGCAAGAACGAAACCCACGGATGTCTTGTTGAGTCCCTCCTTTACAGAGAACGTGTAAGGATCTCCTACGAATTCTGGATTTTTATCATTCACATCTGTGACTTTGATGTTCACTGTAGCTGTGCTGAAAAGTTTACCATCATCTTCGGCTTTGATTATCTAAAACGATGAATTTAGTGAAACGATTTCAAAATAAGTATTCGTTGAAGAAATTACTAGACGGTATCGGGTGAGATCTTCCCTGTCCAGTTTTCGGATTACTGTGATTATCCCACTCCTGCTTCCAATTGCGAATTGCCTTAAGTCATTGCCCGATATAATGGAATATGATACAGGATCGTTCTCTGCATCAATCGCCTAAAAATAATTGATTTTTTGGAACAGTTGATTATTTCAATTCACCGATCACTTACCACGACTGTAGCTACTGTAGAATTAATTGTAGCTCCCTCGCTAATCTCAATGTCGTAAACTGATTGCTCGAAAACAGGACTCTGAGTATTTGGTCCCGGTGTTACAGTGACTTCCACTATCGTTTGACTGTAAAGACCTCCGGAATCCATTGCTTGTATTGTCAAACTGTATTGTTCACCAGCGTTCAATTTTTCGTTTGTTTCCAGAACCCCCGTTGTAGGGTTTATGATGAATTTTCCATTACCATTGTTAGAAATGTGGTATATCGAGTATCTGATTTCCGCATTTTTGCCCTCGTCCTTGTCGGTTGCCTTGATGGTCATGACCGTTCTTCTGCCATCTCCTGCTGGTACCGTTACGGGGGGGTATGAAGGAAGAATAGGGGGATTGTCGTTGACATCGTTCAATGCAACTGTGACAGACGTTGGGGCGCTTGCAGCAACCCCAAGCTTTTCCTTGACTACCACTTGGAACCTAAATTTTCCTGGACTTGGAGGATCTCTGTCCAAATTGTTGTCATTAACAATGAGGTATCCCTTTTTGTCTATAATGAAGTATGGAGTCGTCAATTCGAAGATATATTCTGGCTTTGGTTCGTTTGGACCCTAAAAAGATTTAGAAGAAGACTGAAGTCGTTTTATTCTTCTATTGGTAAGAATAGGTACGTACCAAATCTTTGTCAACTACAGTGAACTCAATTGGATTCTTTTGGGCATCCAGTACAATCGTTCCTACGGGAGAATTTTCATCGACGAAGCCTTCGGAAGAAGAGACGAAGATTTCTGGAGGATTAGCATCAACTGGGGTCACATCGATGAATAATTTGGCAGTGGTAGATCTTTTGGCTTCCGATTTTTCTTGGGCCTGTAACATAACGAGTACTGAGAGGTAAGCGACAATGAGATTTTGCTGATGTACCTTGATGATTATCTCAAAATTTTTGGCAGTGTTGCTATCGACAGATTTCATCTGATGTACCGTTCCTACATCCGGATCTATTCGAAAATAGTCGGCATACGTATCCGGGGTACCGCTTACAAAACTGTAAGTTACTGGGTAGTTCAAGGTGTCCATGTCAACGGCTTGGATCTTCTCCGGGGCGATGTCCAGAACGCCATGGAGGACGCCACTTGAAACCTTTGATAAAAATAGGTGTTAGAGAAGCTCAGAAGAATTAGAAGAAACGACTTACAGTGGCGTGATATTCCGGGTTGATGCAAGCCCCATCCAGGACCATGCATCCCTTATAAATAAACGACGGATTCTGATCGTCGTCGTCATTGATATTTACTATCAGTGTGGTAGTGGAAGTCAGTCTTTCGTCCGGATTTTTTGGCTTATCCTGTTTGAACACGAACCATAATGGGATTTATAAAGAAATTGTGTCGTAACAGATGGCTTACCGTGGCAACAATCGTAACATAGTAACGCTGCGTTTTTTCAAAGTCTAACGTCCGGTTAACCGTTACTTTTCCTTGATGTGGCAAGTTAATGGCAAAAACCCCATAACCATCAGCAGTGGCTACTCTGTTCTGGCCGATGTTCTGTTCGTAAACTAGGCCAGAAGCGGTGCCCGGGACTATCGAGTACTCCACCAAGGCATTCGCTCCCGTGTCCTTGTCTTTCGCCAGAACATTTTGAAAGATCGTTGTGCCTATTGGTGTCAACTGAAAATGGTGCCGAAATTGTAAAACGAACCGCAATTTCTATCGCTGCTACAATTACGTAAAGCAATTTTGATTATGTTCTCTCACCTCTGAAATGCTAGTTTCATACGGGGTGTTTACAAATTCTGGAGCATTATCGTTAATATCGAAAACGCGTACAATAACAGGTATCGTTCTCTTTTTGTGCGTCGCTTTGATAGTGCATGTCAATTGGAAGACAATGTGTGATAAAGAATCCCTGTCTCGATCGAGAGGAGCGAGCAGTTTTAATTTTTTTCCGTCGAGGTAAAACAGGGGATTTCCTTTTGGAAAAACCAGATCAAGGAACATGTCAACATTAGGTTCGCCCGATACCGGTAATTCCACGGGATTCGTTTCCTGGTCAATCGCTACAATTTTACCAAGAATTATCATTAATGTCAATCTATTATTTATTATTCATTAAAAAAAAAACCTACATAAACCCCTGCTCTCTTCAATGTCCACAATGATATTCGTAGCCTTATTTTCTACCTCGCATGGTCCTAAAATACAAAAAAAAAATATTGACAACAACAATGCACCACTCTCAATAAATTATTTATTGATAAATTGAATATGACCTACTCTTTACTCGATGGTGAGTGAATTATTTATTAATGAGCATAAAATCGGAAACATTTGTAAAAAATGTAATTTCCATAGCAAACAGAACAAGCTAAAGCGTGATAATTAGTTGACAATGTCGTTTATTTAACGGTTTTATTTATTTAGCTGTCGTTTAATCAAATTGAATTGCAATAGTGCAATCTACAAAATTAAAATGCATTGATTATTTTACCTCTATTTATTATACATCTGGTATAAAACGAGGTGATAATTTTATTTCGTATTACTTGCTAAAACAATTTGCAACATGACTGACGCTAAACAAACTTTAACAGAAAAGTAAGTAGATTCTAGATACTAAGAAAGAGAAATTAAATGTTACTCTTTTTTGTGGTTTTACAGAAAAGAAAAGCCCCGACCTGCTAATATTTACAAGACGTTGTCCTCTCTACAATGGTGTTTAAAGCTATCGGCAGCAAGTCACTATTATCAAAACTCAACGGGAGAATTTAAAAGATCTTTTTTATTATTGTTGTATGCAACGGTTTATCTTTCTGGGTTCTTATTTTTTGGGCAAGACGTATTTTATCTGAAAAATTACTATGCCAGAAGAAATTCCTTTAGATTCGCGTACTATTTAGAGAAGGGGCCCTTTTTCACTAAACCCATATCGATTATCTGCAGCCAGATTTTCACAGGCAAAAAAATCGAAAGCTTACAACTCCTGGACCAAGCTGATGAAGTTTTCTTAACAACTGACCAAACAGCAAAAGTATTGAAAGCCAACAGAAAAATAAAATCACTCTGCGAGAAACTTATTATTACAACAGTTGTATCTTTGCTAGGATTGGGAATTGTGTCGTATCTTATTGAGAAAGAAAGACATATTTGTTATTTCATTGCAAGATATATTTTTACGGTGATGCTCGAAACAGTTCAATCGGTCGAATTTGCAGTAATGTGTTACTGTATTCGATCCAGATTTAAGGTAAAGAAAATCATTCGTTCTATTGATGAGCAAAATTAGTCTTGGTCTTGCAGTCTTTATACTAGCGAGATCAAGACTAAGACTAAAACCAAGATCACATACGAAAGACGAGTGGATTTATGAGTTGAAATTAAAATATTTACTGTGATATATTTTCAGATCATTAATCAGATAGTTAAAGATAAAATTGAAGAATCTGAACGCGTCGAAAAGTATCCCATTAACAGACATCTTTTCATTCGATCTTTGAAGCTGTTGCTGGACCAACACGAAAGGCTAAGACATGTAGCCGAAGTAACAAACGCTGCATTCTCTGTTCAACTGTTATGCGTTTCGTTAAATGCGCTTTCAATTTTTATTTCGAACGGCATCAAGGTTATCATCATAATCTTTGAGGGAAGTTCTGAAGAAGTTATTGTAGCGTTGAATTGGATATGTGCAATCATTTTTGTGGTTGAATTTTTGGCAATTATTTGTCATCATGTTAACGAATTGTGCAGTGAAGTAAGTGACACTATGCCGTATTTTCATCATATTTGGTGACTTGGTTAATATTTTAATTTCTTAGGCTAATTACACCATTCGTCTACTTCACGGAATTCAGTTACGAATTGATGATACAGAATCCATTAAAATGGTAACTACTAATTTAATTTCTGACATTTGTAATGTTTAATAATAGTTAATATGAAATATTAATGTGAAAATTCATTTCCAATTCTCTATCCATTACAAACTAGCAAAAGATAATGAATGAAAATTTTTGTTGCCACCGCCGGGAATCGAACCCCAGACCTTTGGACTCAGCTTAGCGATCAGAGCGGTGCGTAATGCCAAAGGTCCATGGTTCGATTCCCGGCAGTGGTATAATAACAGCAACAAAAATTTTTCCTTATTAACTTGAGGTAGTTTGTAGTGGATACATAATTGGAAATGAATTTTCACGTTAATATATAATTTCTGACTTTATTTCTCTTAATTTCATTCTACAAAATTGCTTTGGCACTGGTATTTTATAATAAAATAAGTACAATACTTAAGAACTAAATATTTTTCAGATGATTTTGTCCACAATGCATTTGGATAACAACAAATTAAAATTGATGGCATGTAAACTGTTCAAAGTTGACTTTTCGTTACTACTTTACGTAAGCAATTTATTGAAAATATTATTGACAGTTACTGAAAAATTTGCGTTCAATTTTTAGATTTGTGGAGGTGCAATGTCTTACTTGGTGATAACGTATCAGTTCGTACAGTTCAAAGAATTACAAAAGGAAAGATTACATGCGCTGTCCCGCGCAAACGATAATATTACAGTTACCCCGTCCGAATCGCTATTCAATTATTATTCTACAGCACAAATATAAAGGGTGTTTTTGTTTCTTCTAATTTATATAAGCACAAGAAAGAATAAAAATTTAGAAAATTATGCTAAGATTAAAAAATTGTGTGTTACACATTTACAATTAAATAATAATGAATGTCTCACCTGCATGTACCGAATACAATTGTCCATATAGAAGAAGAAAACACGTTATAATTAACTTGGTCGCCATTGAGATGATCTGCAAAAACAGAAGAAAGCTTGTATTTCAATAAACTTTGCACATATTAATATTTTTTGTCTTAGTTGTTATAAATTCCATAAATAAATAATGGATGTTTAACAAAGAAAATTAGAGACTTTAATTTAATTATTGTATTTTCGTATTTAGGGTATCAACGGGAGCGAAACTACGGTTAAAAGCTTGTAAATAAGTAAATAAACAAATACCTAGATTAAAAAGTAATTTAAAACATTTTGCATATTCCAAAATTCAAATTATGTACATTTCCTAAAAATTACACAAAACTTTCTTGTGTGTCTTATTAATCCGTCCAAATTATGTTTCTAATTAGGTAATTACTGTAAAATTTCGATTAATTGCGAACAGACGAAGGAAGATACAATCTACAAAGAAATAGATTTCTTACTTCAGTATTGAATTAGTTGATTCCACAGACCGCAAAGTACAATATTACATTAGTTATGCTTAAAAAATACAGTTAGACACTGTAATAATAAGATGGTAGAAGTTAATCTATTTTGTTTTTTAATTTGGAAATTAATTCTTTCAATTTTCACGATCCTAAGAAAGATTTCACGCCTACTATGAGCCAATAATAAGACAAGTGATGGTAGCTTGTTGTATAGACATTTCTCAGTTGTTCAACTGTTACCTACAATAACAGCGAACTTCAACTATTTATTTATTATAGGAGCTGCCATATCTATGATTATTGTTTGTTGTTGGAAAATATGAACAAATTGTTAAAATTACGTGATCGTGTCGCGATTTTAATAATTATTAGATTAAGGAACGTTTTCTAACAACCGCAAAATGTTGCCTAGCACGCGCTTTTTCTATTTGAAAAGTTTTCAAATTTTGCAACCAACCGACAGCGCCGACCAGTTCTACAAACTTCTTCGCAAACTGCGAACTCAGAATTGTTTTAACAATAGTGAAATGTGAAGGCCATCTTCGCATATTTCTGACCTAATCGGCGGGTTTATAAAAACAACATCATCAACTTTACAAACACAATTGCTACTGTATACATTTACAATAAATATTAATAAATAATAGAAGTATCATCAAAAACAAAATATTTAGGCAATCTGTAAAATAATAAGTGCTTAATTAATTAAATATATTAATAAACAATTTTAAGTCAAGTTATTGATTCATATTTTACTTTACTTAATAATTCAAAAAGAGTTTAAGAAGGTTTTCCTTCCTATTTTTCTTCAACTGGGGAAGAAATTCAATAATTTTCTTACACAATGCTCTGGTTATATTACAAGATGAAAGTAGCATTAAGATTTCTGTTGGCTTAAGACTTAATTATAAATTAATTGTTCTGTATCAGTAAGATAATATTACCAGCATTTATTTCCGTACCCAACAACTTCCTGAATAAGTCTTTTTAACGACTCTTACAATAAAATAATTAATATTCCTTATCTTATACAAGAAAGTGTAATTTAATAATAATCAGAGAAAGTTGTGATTATGTGTTTATATATGAAACATTGTTGCACATATAAATAGCCATATTGGAATCACTTTGTGGTAAATTATTTATTATTAAAAAACGCGAAAATTATTGTGGTAAATGTAGCGCGTTCTTATTTTCAAAAGTTCTAATTGGGCGGTAAAAGTGATGAATGGTTTTTTAATTACCTTTAGAACTCAATTGTTAATTAAAATTTTCCACCGCCGCTAACTCAATAAAAGAAAAGTAAAAGTTTCGTTCTATCTAATCGTAGTTAAGTGTAAGAATGAATTTGGTTTAAAACAATCGACCTTCGTTGTTACGATTCATTGTTTCAATTAAAAAATAATTAAGTTATCGGGTTGTTCGCAAACAAAAATTCCCTAATTAGTTAAATGCATAATATAAACACAACATTCCATATTCGTATAGTTAGTTCACATTCTACACAAGAATTCGGCAACTTTCTAAAAAATTATTCTACTAGATACACGTGGCTGGCTCATCAATACAAAGGTGTTAATTTCCTCCTGATAAGTGTGCATAGTCGACTTTATACAACTATTACTGCTAGCGTTACATAATTCGATTAGAATTAATTTGGAGTGACGAAATCACGCTGACTTTAGTGGTTTTTCATTCATTTAGTTTCTTTTTTGTTGCATGACCGATCGATACAATTTTTTCTAATACGAACTTGCGGTCTACGTTCAACAAGTGCTAAGAAGAAAAAACTTCTTAAACTAGATACCTAATAGATATCTATAGTATAAACAACTGCTACAAACAAATGAGAGCAGTCGAAGCGATCGTAGGTTTTTAATAAAAAGCAAACGATATCTTTTGTCTTAAACAGTTGCCAGCTGTTAAACTTAACGTTGTAAAAGTTAGAACGTTTATGATGTAGTGTTATAGAGATATTAGAAAGGGTAGAAAAATGAAGGTGTGATGGAAGTCCTGTTTATCTATTTAAAGATATTGCTCGTATTCCAGCTTCTCCCACTGGCGACAGATACTTTTTCTTTTAGTCAGTAGAACAACTTTGTTCTCGATTCATTTGTCGGAATCAGTAGGTGGTAAATGAATAATAAACAGATTGAACGTGATCCACATAAACAGTGCATGGAGACAACGAAAGTATAAAATGCTAAGTTTAAATCAGACCATTAGAACCATTAAAACATTTGCCTAGATTGTAAGTGATTTGTTACTTGCTTTGTTAGAACAGAAACAAAAAAAACTGAGCTGGTCTAGGGGATATTTACAGTTTAATGTGGAATTTCAATCAGTTTCCACATGGTTAGCTAAGTGTTAATTATCTATCTATAAGATTAACTGATCTGTATCACAATCCGAACTTCCTTTATGAGCTAAAAAGGATATAAGTAAACGTCCTGCTTATACTTTAAAGGCTATTGTAACTTTTATGAGATAGCTTGAAAGCAAATTTCCAAAAGAAAATCAAACCGATAAAGCAACAAATAATATCATCATCGTTATTTTTTAGGCAATCCAACGTTTTATATTTAAGGCAAATACCTACTACAGCGAAAACAATTTATCAATGCTTTGTATTGTTTCGTTTCAATTTTTAATTTGTAAAAATCTAACTTAATTGCACAACAATCTGCTTTCATAACGTAGTAAAGAGCTTTTTTTTGTGTATCAGCCGTTGGTATTACAACAATATTAATAACTGCCTAATCAAAGAGAAATCCAAATCGATCTGGATAAATTCTTTTTCCCAGCGACGTAGGCAGTTATAAATAAGTAAACAAATTCACAAATTAGTGAAATCGTTCTGGCACACCTTCTAACAAGAATTCTTTCGTCGAGAGGCAATCTGCTTCGTACATGGACGAAATTAAAAAAGTGACAGTTTTTGTATCTCGACGACCTTAAACATTCGATTTTGTTTATTCAATGTTTTCGTAACAATGAATGATAAGTGCTCCAACTTGTTGAATAGTCTTGGTATTAGATGAGACAACTTATTCAACTGGTTCTCTGACCTGTTTGCAGCGGGTCATCTTACGCTGTAGAACGCGTAGTTTTCACGTCTTGGATGTAACAGAATACTGTTAGAAAAAGACGCTTGTCTAGATAGATCGTCATCGTCAGATAAAGGAGCACATATTATGCACTTGGTACATATTATAGGATAGACATACGATCAACCTACGTCTGTTATCTTTGGTCTGATTTAGTGACTGCAAAAATTAATGATGCTAAAGAAGTAAACAGTGGTCTCTGTAGTCACATTTTTTAACTTAAAATGCTTAATAATGAGAACCAGAAGCGTTATGACGTGTATAGTAGCCGTGGTAGAATCCAGGGTTCCCTACAACCTAGCCAAGGATTTCCATAATTAGGACCACGAGAGAGAGAGAGAGAGCATAGAAGATAAAGATACTCAAAAAGCTTGCCCTCTGTCTTTCTTTTTGATACAATAAGCCCAAGGCTCCGGAAGTAACGTACTGACGCCCTTGATATTGAAAACAAACGAAAACCGAAATAGGTTTGTCATTAATGTTATCAATATTCATCACAATGGTTTCTAGATTGACGGAATATAAACAGTTTTTTGGCAATCGTACTTTTATTTTTCATTTGTTTTCAGATCCTGTAGGGTTGCTTTTGTTTATCGAAGTAGAAACACCTGACTGTGCATATTAATAGGTGTAGAGTTGAATATATGATGAGTACGGGTCAAATCGCCCAGGCTTGTTAGCAAACTTTGCTATGCGTATGTATTATTCATTTAAATATGCCTTGATAGTGCTTCCTTTTGCAGAATGTTCAATATTAGTGTCGATTACACTGAGATAATGTTAAACAATATTATGCGGTGTATATGTAGTTGGCATATATGTATACAGGTAGGTAAACCTAAGCCATGTAACAAGCAATTAAACATCAGAGTACTGTTAATAACGCTAAATTCCCACTTAAATCCTAAAAAGAGTCACGTATTAAAAGTAGACCTATGCTAAAGCAAGTAAGGGAATTGAAATGCAAAAAAACACGAAGATATTTACAATATTTCTATTTTATATATTAATGAAAGAATTAGTGGTATTAATCTAGTCGTGGATAACTTATGTATTAGAAATACTTTAGCATAATATACGATTTTAAAGTCTTTCGTTAATCCATCGAAATGGTTTAAATTACAAATTAGTAGAAATCAAGTTCAAGCAACTTTATATTACTTGGTATACGAATTAAGAAGTTATTTATTAAAACACTTCCTGGATTGAACGCAAAGCAACGGTAATATGTTAGATGTGTGGAATTGGAATTTAATAACGTCATTTTGCATACAACAATTTATTTATCAAGTAAAATTGACTACCTATTTATACTTATTACAGAAAATGTAAGATGCATTAATAGATAACAAAAATAACACAGAATAGATTTTTCGGAAAAATCTTTATTTGAATAAGAATCAATACTTTAATTTTATACAACCAACTTCTACATCTACTTAAACCATTTTTGTTCCCAATCATCCCATACTACCATTGCCCCATAAACTTCGAGAATCACCCCAATAGAAACGATAAAACAATTTCATAAAAAACAAACCTGATGTTAATTTTTTTAATACTTTGTATTTTACTTAAAAAGGATCCTTTTAGACAAAGGTGCTTCCCAATTACCCTATTTTCCCTTTATACATATCGCGAAAGGACAGGTACAAGTAAGTGGTTGTGGGCCAGGGTTTTGTGTGCCTGTTTTTATAACCCATGTTCTGTAATAAGTCGGAAACAGCGATAGACACTGATTTTGAAAATATCGTTTTTAAAGAAGGAATTGATCTGACCGTTGCAACATTTTGCTTGCGTTGAACAAAAGACAAACGAGGTCACCAGCTTCACCTTTATTTAAGAATGCAGTTACATATTACATTAGGTTTAATACCCGTATACATATATTTTTAAAAGCCTTTCTCTTAAAATTTCCTCTTTAAGATTAATTACTTTGCATCTGTTACTTTTAAAAATTTTCACACAAAAGTAGGCGTATCTACCTGTTAAAAAAGTTGGCCTAATTTCGGCGACCAATTTTAACGAAAAACGCGGTTGATAAAATATCAAGGTTGATGAATGAAAACGGTCGATTATGTAAACCAATCTTTTAGAACATACATTAAATATTGTAGGTAATGGATATTATTAAGCGAAGCCTTCAAGAAACGTTACATCTTCAAGAGGAGCCGTTTCGATCGAGGTCAGCAATTTAAATGAAACAAAACAATACTCAAACTTACTTATTGCCTGAAACGATACGTCTGAAACTAATCCAGGGCATTTCACACCTTCGAACATCAATATTACGAATCCAGGACTCGAAAATCCACCCTGTTCATCCCCGACAGTTGCTTCCCATATTGCTGCACAATAACAACACTTCCAGTCAGTTCAGGCGCACTTGAATGGTATCCCTTCTTTTTTTCACAAATCGCAAAAACAAAAGATAATGAAACAAAAAAAAAAGAAACGGATTGCACGGACGCCAACTAGGATTCTATTAGTATGTGTAAGTATTGGAAAAGAAAAACGAATGTGCTGGGTGACGTTAGAGTATACCGCACCTGCTTCAACGTCGACCCACCTTTAGACGGGTCTCTAAAGTTAGCGGTGCTTACTACAACCGACGAATATTCTACCTATTCTTCGCCTTTCTAAAGACCAGCAAACAAGCAGCAAGCAGCAACTTTTCTTCGAATGCCCACGGCTAGAGGCAGCCTTCCTCGTGAAACGGGGGCCCCAACCAAGTAGACGAAGAATTTATGCAACTCATATTACAGATATACGCTCTGAGAACTGATGGTAGTATTTGCTGGGCTTTCCAAAGAAAAAAGAAAAACAACAAGAGAATCCTGGGTCCTATGGAAAATGATTTTGGAAAATCTCTAATATTGGGGAAAATATTCAACTTTATAAACCTGTGACTTTCATAGTTAATTTTCCGAACGCGGAAATTCATTTTCTTTGACCATATCTCTAATAATAATAGAAAACGTATTTTTTTCCAGAAACACGTTTCTGTTTTAATCTTTTAATCTTTTTCTGTAAAAGTCCATTTTTTCCCTTTCATTAGGCCTGACGGTGAATTGGTACCGTACAATTATTATTCGTACGTATATTATAATTTTCCGAAGCTTGCGGGTCGGTTATCGGATGTTTGGGTTCATTTAGCTGTCACGGGTCGTCAAAACGCCCCTGTTATTTCAGCGGAATAGGCCTCAAAGATCCGATACAAACAGGAGGAAGAACGAGATCCCCAATACGCTAATTTTCTCCTTCTTTTTTTTTTTTTGTTTGTTACAATTAGAACCAGTACGAGAAATTGGCCGAGGACAAAAGAAACCGCAGACCACAAAATTGACCTGGCACGAACGTTTCATGGAAATTGGTGTTATTAGGGCTTTTATCGTATTATATTAAAGTTTTCTAATTACGTAAACTGATACTTTTTTCGGTTAAGAATAATTACATATGTTATGTTATGTTTCGACGTCAAAAAAAAAACAAGGATTTGGAGAAAATTTTTACAAAACCCAACCATCCGTTACACTTTGTCTTCTATTGGGGTTGTTTTATTAGGTCGTGTGATTGTTTCTGGGATTGTTGGGATTGTTCAAAAGTGCAACAGGTTGATGTCAAGAATTTACTAGTTAGGTAAGTACAATGATCCTAATTAATCACCGAGTACTGTTGGTGACAGGTGGTGATCGGTCACATGGGGACAAAAAGCGGAATCGAAGTCTCGCTGGCGATGTCATTTGCGTGCCAGAAGATCAAAACGCAATGTCCGTGCAGCACGCAAATAGGCGTGCATCAGGGTAGGCTGTGCGGGCTCATCACGGCATCCCATGACGGCACTTCTGCTGGAAGTTGAACCACCACCACACTATACAGCTAGTATTTTGCGACGAAAATCCAAAAGAAGCATACCTCTAAAATGCTTCTATTAATAACAATGGTAATGTAAGAAAAGCGAAAAGAATTAAACGGACTTGGGGGTTGAAGCCGGGAACGCTATATAGTGTGGTGTTTAGTGACTCCAGATGATGTGTCGACTGTGATTTCTTGGCGTCAATTAATATTTGTTTAAGACTTAAAAAAAGTCTAAATACGGTCATCCCTTAGGTACAGCAAAGAACATGATACTACTACTTGAGACACCAGCTAAAATCATTGAAAGAAGTTCATGCATTTTAAAGATTCTTATCGTCCAACTTTGAAAACAGCGGTAAGTAAATGTAATAATTTTTCTATTCTAGATATGTTTTTTATTGTCTAACAGTATATTTTGTTCTATTTCTAAATGTTTTTTTATATATACGTGAAAATTGCGCTTACAATTTTTCATCTGTTTGAAAGCCCTGTGTAGGCACATCAACGTATAAATTTTCCGACAAGATAGTAAATCGATTTCAAAACAATTCAAAACCGATTGCGTGACATCGAATGTCACGGAATACTGTCAGCATCACAAGGAATATTGAACTAAACTGTTTTACCTTTTAAGTCTTAAAACTAGAAGCTAAATTATTGTATACTTAGCGATTACTACATTCAAAAGTTATTAGCTTTTCTTGAACTCTTTAACATATATTGTTATCACATATGTAATTGCAGATTTAACTAATTGTTGTTCATATTTTATTAGAATCAACAAAATGTATCTACAATAAATTTTGCAAAACTAGCTTAAATTTAAACGGTTGAATGTGAATAATATGCATATCCATGCCTGAGACGAACAAACATCACATTTTTTGCTAGTTCTAAGTAAACATATAACACTTCTTTACTCGCGTTTGCTATCCAATCGGAACGGTCTGTGGCCACAAAAGCCAGAGTAGATGATGTGTTTGTTAGAAACAATTGTCACTGAGATGAACTTGAAGAATAGAGAAAGGCAGTGGACAAATGTAAATTACACCCGAACGTTAAAACCAAATGCATTAATCGCATCAGTTAAACACCTAAACAAAAGCTGTAAAGAATTAAATTTTTGTACTATATTTGTACAGAAAATATCATTAAAACACTTAAACATTTTCCCAAAAAATTTGTCTAAAATTATTAATATTATGAAGGGATAAAGTCTGTAAGTTTAGATAAAGGAGATAATCTCCACATTCACAGGTAACAGTTACTTTTCCGATTTCAAAAATTCTTAATTCAATATTTAGAATGGAGCTTCAGGGTGTGGACATAGACCGAAAAAATAATGAAGCTATTCATGGAGCCCAATTTTCGTCCTACGAATTCATAAAAATAGGTCTACTAAAAAGTCTTCGTTAACTATATATATCTACACGTATATGTTGAGGTTAATTCACAAGTTGATAAAATATAACTTAAGTGTTTTCTTTTTTACTAACTGTTGTTAAAAAACATCTTTCA